CTACACAAAAGCTATTGCCTCAATCAATCCTTAACCACTTGAAGACCAGGTGTTTAGAACCCTTTCCTGGCCAGGCCATTTTTCAGTATTTAGCGCTGCGGTACTTTGAGTGACGTTTATTCCATCATGCAACGCTGTACTGATATGAATTTTATACCATTTTTTGGGGACAGATAGAGCTTTCTTTTGGTGGTATGTAATCACCACTGGGGGTTTTATTTTTTACTATATTTCGGAAAAATTACTGAACATTTTAAAAAATTGCTCTCAGTGAGACGTTCATGACAATATGCAACGTGTGGCGTAATGGGCGCAATCGTCGTTTTCGCAGGTATGTGCACCCGACGCATGTTTGCATGCATGTATATGGGAGGGGACCCACTTGAAAAAAAATTTTGTTTTTTACATTCTTTTTTATATGTAACTTTACATTTTTTGGGGGGGAACTATTTTTTTTCCACTCAACTTTATTGCTAATCACATAGGGGGCTAAGAAACCCCCCTATGTGATAGCAAAAGATGTGACAGGTCCTCTTTACGGAGACATCAGGGGTCTCCAAGACCCCTGTCACCTAGAACCCCCCGATGAAGCTGATGAAGAAGAGATCTGCTTCATCAGCTTCTCTCCAGCGTCTGAAGCTGGAGAGTGACACAAGAATGCGGAAGTGATGTAATATACATCACTTCCGCATTCTGGTAGCGGAGAGGGGAACAGAGAGAGACCGTGTACCGATCTCCCTCTGATCCCCTGTGACAGAGGCACTATGCTTGTCCCGGGCTCGCACCGGGCACAGCGGAGCCCGGGGCAAGCGTGACAACGGGAGGGGGGCACGGGCTGGCAGCTCATACAAGCGACCTGCCGGCTCTATAGCCGGCAGATCGCTTGTATGTTAACAGGCATCGCTGCCTGTTTTTAAATTGTCAGTGTTTTCCGCTCGCGTGTGCCGCACACAAGTGGCCGTGGCTAAGCGGGCGTCTAAAGACGCCCGCTCAGATCTAGAGAGCTCCCGGCCGGCCGTTTTTCTGCATTGGACGGCTGGGAGGTAGTTGTTTAAGGACAGATCAGCGTCCTCAGGTCATTTGGGGATGCTGATCTGTCAATATAACTAGGCGGAACCAGCCGTGAGATTACTGCTGGCTCTGCCCAGCTGTCATTTGTGGAGAGAACTGGCCTTTGGCTGGTCCTTCGCCCTGCTTTGGCAATCACTTCGGCTCAGTCGAGCCAAAGAATATGCCTTTGGGTCGGCTGAGCCACTCGGCAGCTGTACAGGCTATAGTGAAGGGCTCTGGTGGCTGAAGCTAGCCGAAGGATCAGCCAAAGCTTCGGCTGCTCCTTTGGCTAGCTTTGTGAATAGACCCCTTAATGTTTAAAAAAAAAACAAAAAACACTCCACCCTCAGAACACTCCTTAGCATTGCAGCTGGGAAGGACATGCAAGTGAGACACCTAGACGTTAAAACCACTTTACTATATGGAGACATCAAAGTCTTATATTTTTAGATATATCTACTGCTAGCAAAAACAGTAGATATATGCAAAAACATTAAAAAAAAAGTTAGCAAATAGGTAAAGACTTAGCTGTGTCTATGCTGCTCGCCCCCAGCTGTAGAAACCAGCTGCTCAAGCAGCCATGCAGGATGTGTGCAGGCGCATGCATAGTGCAGATCACCAGAGGGGAGAGAAGGAGAGCTACAGTTTAAGTCAATGCATGTAGCCATGAGCGTGCACGCCAGACAAACTCTGTGGGACAGGAAGAAACAGCAGTCTGCGCTGGATCAGAGACCGGCATCAGCAATGGAGGGACTGCTGAAAAAGACTGAAAACGACTGGAAGGGAGAAGATGTTGGATCAGCAGGCATCGCTTAAGGTAAGTCCTTAAAGCAGCATGGGGGGTATAGACTTTATGCCACTTTAAGGAAGATCTCTACGTGGAGGGTTTGAGCAAGGACACAACCCTGTGAGTAAACATCAAAAAAGCATCTACGGACTTAAGCAATCTGCAAGAGTGTGGCATGAGAAAGTGAATTAAATACTCAAGAGGAATTCACAAGAAGCAAAGCAGATCCATGTCTTTATTCTAGGAATCAAGAAGACAGATAGATATACAACCTAATTTATGTTGATGACATTATAACCCGTTTTGAACAAGAAGGGGACTAGTCAAATAGTTCACAAACTAAAACAAAACGTTTAAATTGAACAGCTAGGAAACATCAGTCACCATCTGGGAATTCAAATAGAGAGGGAAGAGGATGGAAGCCATTTTCTCAACCAAAGTCAGAAAATTGCAGACATTTTTGAACAATTCCACATGCAAAAGAAGTAAAAACACCTATGCTACCCAATTATGACATGTAGCGCAGAGCAATCAGCCACTGTGAGAAGACCAGACATAGCAGCAGCCAGGGGCGGCAAAAATGCCGCCCCCCAAAACATTTAGGCAGCCGGGCTGCACAGAAACCAGCAAACTGGAGCCTAATGTTAACAGGGAGGAATCGGCAGGCGGGGGAGCAGGAGGAGATGGGGGACGGAGCGGCAGGAGGTGGAGATAGAAGAGGCAGGGTGAAGACTGAGGAGACTGAGCGGCAGGGGGCGGAGACGGGGGAGATGGAAGAGGCGGGGGCCGAAGAATATAACCGAAGGAGACAAGAGCAGAGACTGCGATGGAGGAGGGCTTTGCAGGATCTGTGGGGTCTTTACAAACTCTGTAGGGGCTCTGCAGCCTGCAAAGCCCACCACAGATCCTGCACAGCCCCCACCCCCCTGATATCATGCAGACTGCAGGGTCTCAGGGGGTCTCTGCAGATCTGTGGGGGGCTTTGCAGGATCCGTAGGGGGCTCTGCAGCCTGCAAAGCATTGCCACAGATCTTGCACAGCACCCCTGAGATCCAGCAGACTGCAGGGTCTCTGCATGATCTGTGGGGGGGGGCTTTGCAGGATCTGTAGGGGGCTCTGTAGCCTGCAAATCCCACCACAGATTCTGCACAGCCCCCTGAGATCCGGCAGACTGCAGGGTCTCGGGGTATCTGTGGGCGGCTTTGCCGGGTCTCAGGGGGTCTCTGCAGGATCTGTGGGGGGCTTTGCAAGATCCGTAGGGGCGCTGCAGCCTGCAAAGCACCCAACCACAGATCTTGCACAGCCCCCCTGAGATCCTGTAGACTGCAGGGTCTCTGCATGATCTGTGGGGGGCTTTGCAGGATCCGTAGGGTACTCTGCAGCCTGCAAAGCCCACCACAGATCTTGCACAGCCCCCTGAGATTCAGCAGACTGAAATGTCTCAGGCGGTCTCTGCAGGATCTGTGGGGGGCTTTGCAGGATCTATAGGGGGCTCTGCAGCCTGCAAAGCCCACCACAGATCTTGCACAGCCACCCTGAGATCCAGAAGACAGAAGTGTCTCAGGGGGTCTCTGCAGGATCTGTGGGGGGCTTTGCAGGATCTATAGGGGGCTCTGCAGCCTGCAAAGCCCACCACAGATCCTGCAGATCTCCCTGAGAACCTGCAGGGTCTCTGCATGATCTGTGGGGGGCTTTGCAGGATCCATAGGGGGCTCTGCAGCCTGCAAAGCTCACCACAGATCCTGCACAGCCCCCCTGTGATCCGGCAACCTACAGGGTCTCAGGGGGCCTCTGCAGGATCTGTGTGGGGCTTGCCGGGTCTCAGGGGGGCTTTACAGGATCTATGGTGGGCTTTGTGGGGTCTATGGTGGGCAGAGCCCATTACGGATCCTGCACAGTCCCCCTAAGACACTGCAGGGCCTCAGGGGGGCTGTGCAGGATCTGTGGGGGGCTCTGCCCACCATAGACCTCGCAGAGCTCACCACAAATCCTGCACAGCGTGTGCATTGTATCCAGCGGCTGGCAGGTTACGGAAAAAGTATTAAACAGGAAGGGGTGGGGTAAATTTAGTGGGGTGGGGTTTTGTCTTGCCTAGGGCAGCCCCAAACCAGAATAGACCACTGGCGGCAGCAGTGGGTATACTCGCTAGAAAAGTCGCAGCACCCTGTCAGCGTGACTGGAACGCAGTAAAGGGGGTAATACAATACTTAAAATGAACAATTCGGATGAAACTACAACTGCCAGCAGCGTCAAATTCAAAACTAGTTGAATATGCAGATGCTGTTTGGGCTGGAGACTGCACAGACTGCAAATCCACAAATGGTTATATCTTCCAATACGGGGAAGGAACCAAGTTGGTCTAGCCAAAAGCAAACAAATGTTGCACTTTCCTCTAGCAGCAGCACACACTTGTCAAGAAGCAATATGGATTTGACAGCTTTTAATGGACATGGGTGTAGACATGTCAAACCCCATCCCAATTTTTGAAGATAACCAGCGATGTATAAAGCTGATATAAATCAGAAAGAATAACCCTAGAACCAAGCATATTGACGTGGAGTATCATCTGCTTAGCAACACTAGAGAGCAAGCCATTATGGACAAGCAATATTGCTCATCAGAAGAAATGACTGCAGTGCATTACTTGTGTAATTATGTCTTTTGAGCTGTAGATGGCGCTGTAGTGCAATGTTAGTCTCTATGCTTATGCATGTTATATACAGGGCGTTCTCTCTGTATGCTGTATAATGCTGTATTCTCATGTACTATTCTCCTAAGCAAATTAAACTTAATTCAACATTCTTTAAGATCTCAGTGCTTGGTCTAAACACATAACCAACAAATATGACATACAGCAACTCCAACTGCATATTGTATGGGGCACCACATTTGGCCCTTTCTCTTCCAGGTGCTTTCCCAATGAAAGAGGAAGCCAGCATGACAAATGCATGTCACTTCCTCATGCTTACACCTGTGAGCTGGTGCCTAGAAAACAACTTAACACCTACCGCTTATCATGTGTCACTTTAAAAGAGACCTCTCCTCCTATTACAGAAATTCTGCCTCACCTTTTTGCATTGGAAGTTTTCTACATTTGTTTAGTTTGTCTTTGGAAATTAAATGAAGAATTAAAAAAACAAACAAAAAACAAACAAACACTCACCAGTGCAGGAACCCAGTTTATTTTGTCATCTTCAGTGCTTAAAGAAACACAGACAACCTTTCCCAGAAACTTGTCCCCAGTTCTATTTTCAGCATCTTCATCGCTGGATGAGGTGGATGATTCCTCTTCTGGACTGCAATGTCAAAATATATGATATAACAAGATAAGCAGCGCTAGGAGTTCAATTAGCTGTATATCACACAGGTGGCAGTGATTTAAACCAAAATAGTGTTTCCTTAACACATTACTTATATTAAATACTGCAAAGTCAATGTGATGAATTTTTAGTGTATCGTACATCAATATAAATAAATAAATATTGTGATGTAAAATACAAGCTGCTGTATTAAAGACCGCTGGGTCTGAAGATGTTTAAACCAAATTAACAGCGCTAGTAGGTGAATCAAAAAACCATATAATCGTTTTTGTGAACTACAAATCATAAAAATACCACATCAATGCAAGTGCCGTTAATCAATAAAAAAAACGGCACTGTAATAGTTAATAAACATGTGTACGATTAGGAGGTGATTTTTAACCAGTTGACATCCGCGGTGTTAAACCCCCTTCCCATCCAGGCCATTTTTCAGTATTCAGCGCTGCGGTACTTTGACTGGCATTTATTCCGTCATGCAACGCTGTACTGAAATTAATTTTATACCATTTTTTAGGGACAGATAGAGCTTTCTTTTGGTGGTATTTA